CACCCCTGGGAAAGAGGGGAGGGAGAGAACGCCCAACCGCCACCCCCCCCCAGGGGCTCCGAGGGTCCTTACCCGGGTCTCCCCACCTTGCGGAGCCCACCGCCCGCTCCTCAGCTGCGGGAGCCGCACCACGTCCTGGAAGACAAAAAAAAGACAGCACCCCCTGGGGCTGTGCGCCCCAGCACCCCCCCGGGGAACACACAGCCCCCCAGGGCACGGTCACCGACACCCCAGCCAGGGCCAGCAGAACCAGAGGCACCTTACCCCGCACTTCATCCATCCCTCCTCCAGCAGAGCCGAGGACACGCACCCGCGAGGCTGAAAGACAAACACGCGGGGCCGCCGCGTGCTGGGGGGGCCGCCCGGGACCCCCCCGCACACGCTCCAAAGACAGGGCCAAGCCCCCCCAGGCGTCACCTGCTGCCTGGGGGACAAGACGAAGGGCCCCCCGCACCCGCGGCGGAGCGGCTCCACAAACCGACTCTGCCGGGGCACGGAACCCCCGGGGTTCGCTCATCCGGGGCTGAGCCCGGCGGCCGAGCTCCGAGCTCCACCTGCAAGAGAAGAGAGCACGCAGGCACAAAGACATCAAACTCCAGCCCAGCGACCCCCCCGAAGCCCCCCACTCACCTTCCCCTCGGCCCCACAACAGGGCTGGGGGGGGGCGCAGCACCCACCTGCAGATAAACATCCGGATCCGAGCCCCCGGCTCCACTTCTCCACCAACACAAGCACCTGCAAAAATAAAAAATTCACACATCCTGGGTGCCCCGAGCCTCCCTGCACCCACCACGGGAGGGGGCAGAGCTGAGGGCTGCAACAACCCGGGAACCCCCAGGCGGGGGGGTATCACACCAAGGGCAGTCCAGGCTTGAAAGGGGGGGCTTAAACTAACAGCCAGGGCTGGAGGGCACCCAGCGACTGGGACATCCCCTGCTCACAGCAGGATGGAGACACAGCACCCCCCAAACTCACCTGGGGGGCAAGGGCACCCACTGGTGCTGTGCCCCCCCCAGCAGCTCTCCAAGCCAGCACCCACACAGGATGGGATCCCCTCAAAGGCAGCTCTCTTCAAATGCCTCCCATTCAGCACCCAGGGCCTCCCCGTAGCTCCCAGCAGCCCCCACAGGGGTTTAAAAGGCTGCCGGATTGGGCCCTGCCCAGGCCCCCAATGGGACACAGCTGTGCTGGGGGGGCCCAGCCCCCAGCAGCTGTGAGTCATTGCATCGTTAGCACAGCTGGTCTCATTAGCACCCAGCCCTGCACCCAGGCACCCTTCCCAGGGTGGGGGGGCTGTGTGTGTGTTTGCTCTTTGTCCCCTCATCTCCCCCCCACGGATGGCCCATCGCCATCCCAGGAAAGCCACGTCCTGGCGCTGGGGACCCCTAGCAAGGTCGGCAGCCCCCATCTCCCCCACAGCACGGCGGGGCTGGGGGGCCCTTCCTGGGAGCAGCCCCTGGCACTGTGCAGGACAGGGTGGCCAGGGGCACGGCGGGATGGGGGATGCAGGATGAGGGATGGAGGCTGCAGGATGGGAGATGTGGGATGGAGGATGCGGGACGGAGGATGCGGGACGCAGGATGGGGGATGCAGGATGCCACATGTGGGTGCCAGCTGCCGGATGCTGGCTGCAGGATGCCGGCTGCTGAGGGCAGGATGCACCAGGAAGGCCGCAGGATGCGAACTGCTGCCTGGAGTCGGTGGGTGCAGATGGAGGACGCTGCCCGTGGGAAGAAGGGCGAGTACGGGGGGTGCCGGTGGATGGTGCAGGATGCGGCGGTGGACGGAGCCTGCCCATGGCTGCCTGCAAACCGCACCGCTCCGCAGAGGAGCTGTGGCCGGATCCAGGACAACCGTGAGGGGATGGATTCGGGGGGGTGCTGAGCCCTGACACGGGTCAGTGCTGGCCATGCCTGTCCGGCACCATTTGCAAGGCGAGCAGCTGCCATGGCATCAGGGGCTGCGGCCAGGGACAGGATGGGGCCCCCCCCCAGCTCAGGGGCACCCGCACCCAAAACCAGAGCTCGACCTGCCCAGGGACCCTCGACTGTGGGGCAAACCCCCTCCATTGGGAGGCTGGGGGGCCCTGGACCCCTCCCGGCAGTGAAGTTCTGCCCCATCAGGTGCCAAAAATGGGGCTCGGGCCATGGGACAGGGAAGGATGGGATGGAGGTGGCCCCCCCTTCAAATAGAAGCAATGCCAACGAGGTGCCAGCGCCGCCGGGCTCTGCCTTCCCGGGGGGTCCAGATCACCCCCGCTGGCGTCTCCCCTCTGAGTGACATCCCTGGGAGCCTCCTGCTCACTTCTCGAGGCACACGCTTCTCTTTCGTAATGAAATAATTTATTTTCTAACAGTTGAACAATACAGAAGTATCCATATACACAGCAAAGGTCTTCTAAAACACATACTTTCTAAAAATGCGTGTGCTAACTGTAATAAAAAGCACCATTAGATGGTCTTGACACAGGATTCAGAATGACAACGTGGTATTTACAGCAGGAACCGAACAGCTGGAAACAGAACTCATATTCTCCCATCTGCCGCTCCCCGGCTCTCGACTGCCCAAAATAAAGCCGATGCCGGAGCGGGTTCTCTTCTTGGGAAGCAAAAAGAAGAAACGAGAGGAAAAGAAAAGATGGAAAAGCGCAATTAAAAGATGCCACACCCCCCACCCCCCCAAACCAATGCCCAGATGGTTCTGGCTCAGATGTTTTCGGACGGCTCATGTGCCACTATGCCGGATAAATTAAAAGGATGAAACAAAGCTCGTGGCTTTCGGCTGGTGCCATGGCAGAGAGAGGATGCAACGCTTCCCGGGGAGCAAGCAAAGGCAGGCGATGCCTGAACCTATTGCTACACGGGGGGAAAAGTCGGGGAGCAAAGCGCCGGGGCGGCAATCAGCTCCAGCACGTTTTGGATAGAGCTCCGTTGCCGGCAGCTTCCCGTTCTCTGCCTGGAGGTGGGTGCCATCTCTTGCCACCCAGGACGGCGGTTCGGGATCTGCCTTCCACAAGGAAAAAGAAGAAAACCAACCCAAAAAAGCGTGTTTTCGACTCACGCCCATCTGTGCAACGATCTGTCGTAAACGCGGGGTGCGTGAGCGGCTCCTCCCGCCCCCTTTTTTTAATCACAATCTACAAAAATGTCCTTCCTGCAGCTTATTTCTTAGGAATGCTGGTGGATCAGTGAATTCCAGGAAAAGGCTGGCACAGCCGCTGGGCGCCTCAGCTGACGAAGGGGGGACCTGGAGAGACCAAAAGTCGCCGCAAATGGTCCCGGCCACTCGCCAGGAATCAACCACCGGATTTCCAGCCTCGTTCCAGGTTAGTGCATCATTTTGTAGGGTTCCCGTTTCTCTTCGCCCTCAGGCTGGAGAGGAGCACATCCCAACAGTGCAAAGGTCCGACAATTATTAGTTCGGGACAGAAAGAAAAAGGGGGGGGGGGGGGGGAGCAACCCCCATGCAGCGTTTCACTAACAGAAGTAACTCAAAAAGGCACAACACTGAAAAAAATAATAATTTATGCCGAATCGAAACCTTAAGACTTGGTCTAAGTGACATCCAAAAGTCAACTGTTTTCTATCTCCCATTTAACCCCAACGGTGCTTTCCCAACACCCTTCCCTGCTCAAAGGTAGAAAGATCCGTGGCTTCAACGGGATTCCCGAGGCGGTTTCTGGAAGAGGGAGAGGGAGGGCTCTCGGCAAACGGCTACCAGAGCCACCGGCCTCAAAGTGCTGATATTCCACTTCCTTTTTCTCTGTGCTTTTCATCTTTTTGCTCTTTTTTCCTCTTTTTGAAAGCGTAGAGTTTTTGAGGTTGCACGCTGAAGGCTGGCTGCCGGGACTCAGGCGTACCAATGCTAATGGCATTCAAGCCGCGGGTCAGTGTGAATCTGTTGGACATCGGAAAATTCTGGCTGTTTTAAAATAAAAAATCCCTTGTGGTTTTGATTTTCTCTCTTTTAAAACCTAACATGCGCAAAAAGAGCTGAAACTTCGGAGATTTTAGCAATCCGCTACCCCGTCTCCCATCCTCTCACTTCTCAAAGACTTCAAATGATCCAAAAATCGATTTAGGGATGTTAAAAAAAAACAAACAAAAAATAACAACAAAAAAAAAACGAAACAAAAAGAAAAAAGAAATTGAGTTTTACATTGTTCATTCGCTCGCACTTTGCAGTAGCGACGTCTTGGCGACCGTGTTTTCCGAAGGGATTTGTACAGACTGCAGGCACGGGGGGACGCCTGGTTTTGTCTCCCACCGCTAAGAAAAGCCCTTGAAGAGCGAAGCGGCTCCTCGCCGGATGCCAGGGCCTTGCCGGGTGCCCGGGGGGAGCTGGTCAGGGTAGGGGATCGAGCGATGGGGATCGAGCGGGAGGTTTGCTGAGGGGGTGGAAAAGACCTTCGATGAGTTCAAGGGGAAAAGAAACGTCTCCCTTAGCAGATCTCTACATATCAAAGATTCCAGAACATCTATAAAAGCAGAAAGTCGTAAGAATGTTATCTCCAGTACATCGGTTTCATAGAAAAATGAATAAATACTATTTATAGCTCGCGTGTTTTCTGTACATTTCCGTCTGCTCTCAGGTGAGAACCCCGCCCTGCCCTGCTGTCAGGGCGATGGGAAGGGCTCTGGCCCTTTCTTGGCGTGTTCGGGTTTGTGTCCCTAAGGCGGCGACCGAAATCCTTCGCGAGCCCGTTTGAGTGCCTGAAAAGATCCCCACCGGGCAGAGAAGTGCTTCGGACGTGCCGCTGAGATCCGTGGGGTCCCCTCGGGCGCCGACGGCCAGAGGCTGCCCCGCTCCCGCTCACCGTCGGCTTATTGCTAAACTGTTGCGCGATGGATTTGAACAGGGCCGGGCATCGCTTCTGTAAAACAGATGAGGCATCATCTTTGTTTTTTGTGCTAAAGGGATGGAGATAATCTTTGTTCATCTCTCCGAGGTAGAAAAAAATTGTCCCCGAGACAAGAAGCGTGAAAAGGAAATTCCAGGAGCGCTCGCCTAGAACAGCGATGTGCAGCTGTGACGCAGGAGGTGGGATGTCACACGGGACGGGGACGGGGACCGTTTGGTTTTAGGTAGGACAGAAAACTTCCCAGACTGAAGGCGCCCGACCTGAAGCTCTGCGAGAGGGGGGACGATGGCTGCCGAGCCCCACAGCCCCCCCCCCGAACGGCATTCCCCCTGCCAGTAAGGCTCCTGCTCTGGGAAGATGGCAGGGCTGGGCTGGGGTGCATATGGCTGCGCTACTACCCTGAATATTTAGAGTCGGCGGAGAGGAGCCCTCCGACTAACGTGCCGGTGGCTCGCAGTGCAATTCCGAGATGCGACGCGGCTGAAACACTCCGTGTGCCGATCGCTGACTTGCCTCCACTCTCTCCCGGATCTAAACTATGCTAGAGGCTGGCTTCGCCTTCAGATCCTCACCCAAAAACTCTACATTTGGGCCCTGCCGCCGACTATCGGGTATGTGATGTTCCCGGGCAAATGCGGAGTAGAGCCAGAATACTGGGCGGTGACAGCAAGCCAAAAAACCCACGGGAGGGCTTTTGAGGTTGCTGTTACTGCTGCAATATTCTCGGGCACTTCAAAATGTGGCTGGAATGTACGGTCTCGCAGAGAAGAGTTTCCAGGCGGGAAGAGAAGCCGGCAGATGCGAGCGGAAGGGCGCTCTGGGGAGCAGCTTCCCACCCGCAGCCCGACATGGTGTTTTGGGACTTGGGCAAAGCTCAGCTTCATTTCGGTCGGCGGTACGTTAAGATTTTCTTACGTGCAAGAGAATGGTGGGACAGTCCGGTGTGCTACCTAACGAGATCCAAAAGGGAAAGAGCGACGGGTGAAACAGCTAAGGGAGTTGCTTCTTATAGACCGAGAGAAGGCTTGCGATTGCTCTGCAACTTCAACCTCTTCACACCAGAGCTGGAATAGCCCTCATCGCTACAGACGCTCTGCAGGCTCCCTCTTTCGTCCGAGTCGCTCGGGCTGCTGCTGCTGCTCCAGTCAAGGTCCGCGGGAAGGTCGTCCGTGCTCTCCACGTCCACGTCTATCTCTTCTGCAAGAGGAACGGTTAGTGTTACAACGCGACAGGCCAGACCTCTCACCAGCCGGCCCCGCTCTGCCCCGAGCGCGGGGGTCTCACCTCTATCCGAGTCGGAGCGCTCCGAAGAAACAGTGGAGCCGATACTGTCCATCCTTATCCTCTCTATCCCCAGCTTCTCCAGCTGCCTTTTCAGGTGCCGCTGCTCCCGCTGCAGCTGGTCTATTTGGTGTACGGCTTTCCTGTCATAGTCTTCAAGCTTCTGCAGAGGATGAGAGAGAAGGCACCCTGAGCTCCCCAGCCTCCAGCCACGCGTGAAACATCGCTTTCGCTACCCGAGCCCTCTAAACATGACTGCTACCAACTACCAAGGGGCTCCCCGCCTTCAACACGCTCAGGACGTCGAGCACGTGAGTTGTATGGACACAACTTTATCCTCCCGCAAGCCGAGGGACATCAAAGCAGGGTGCGGCATCTGGCCCAGGAATGGAGAGTTCCGGACCTGGCCCGAGGCTGCCGGAGAAGGCACATAGAGGACGCTTCCCCCTCCAAACCATTTATATGAGCAGCTATTTATATATTTCCCCAGCCTTTGATAATCAGGGAGTTGAATGCAGCCCGATGCCAGCGTTCCCCCAGTTATCTCTCGGCTCGTGAAGCTTTAAATACACCCAGCGAGGAAAGCCCTGTTGAGTCAAAGTCTGAAGGACAAAGAGCGAAGTGGAAAATACTCTAGAAAAGAAAGGAAAAAAGCAACTGTCCTCCAATCCTGCAGCCAGTCTCATCTCCAAGGCCTCTGGGCATTGCTGCGGTGTAGGGTACAACGCAGAAAAGCAGCGCGGCTACCCTCTACGAGCCCATCGATAAGGAGAATCGCACGGACTCGCCGCGCCAAGTGCAAGAAGGGCAATACTGACCCGCGACAGCATTAACCTCCGTTGGTATTCCCAAACCAACGTCCCGACCCGGCCGTTGCCTTCACCCCGCTCAAGGATTCAGACACCACGAAGCCCCTGTGCCCCGTGTGCCAGTGCTGCTCTCGAAGCCGAGCTCGGTACCCACCCGATGGCGATGGAGCCCGACTTACTGCGTCTCCTGCAGCAGGTGGGTTCAGCGGCACCGAACGAGCCCACGCTCACCTTGATGTGCAATTTAGCCTTCGTTAGTAAACTCAGCGTGGTGTGTCTGCTGGCTTCGGGTCCGAGGGGTACCAGCCCCTTCAGCTTCTCCAAACACAACCGCAGATGGGCACGCCTGTAAGAAGATCACACAACACGCTGAGCGTTCAGGTACCCGCTTCCCAAGCAGCATTTCACCCCTGTGAGAGCAGATAATCAGAGTGGTTGGAAGCCAAGTCAAACCAGATGCCTTCCCACCCTCTGCCGGCTTCCATGCACTGGGAGAGAACTGCAGCCAGACAAAAGAACATCTCTGAAAACCCTGACTCCAGCTTCGGCTGACCCCACTGACAAAACCCTGTCGGCACCTTTCGGGCTGTCGGGATGCTTGCTTGGCGAGGAGCTGCCAAAGACCTCGACTTTTTGGGCGAGGGTATCCGATTTTGGTCTTTCTCCTACTAAAAAGCTTCACCACAGGGATGCTGTTCAGCCACCGCCTTGCTCCACCGACAGCTGAAGCCATCCGGGCTGACACCACGCAGCTGTAAACCCAGCGTGTCCCTTGGGAACACTTCCTTTCCCTATTTTTAGTAGGAACGGGCCAGTTTCGGATCCACCTCCTTGGCACACGCAACTCCGGTCAAAACAAAACCGGGTCCCCAAGGGAACATCAGCCCCGAGCAGCACCATGCTCCTCAGCTGTCCTGGCACAGGAGCCTGGCAGGAACCCCTCTCTCCCTGTGTTACACCCAGATTTTGTCTGCATTAATACATAGGCTAATGCTTTACTACTTGCACACCACTGCTGAGGGAAACTCTGGCTGCTCGAGGAAGTCCCTTTACCTGTCGATAACTGAGATGCTCCCAGCATGGATCCATTTCCCTCGTGTTTGGCACTCCAACCCCAAGATTTAGGTCACATTCTTGGGCATCGGTTGCAACACCTGCCTTTGAAATACCCGATCGACACAGGCAGCTGCAAATTGGGATTTTGCAAGTACCTGCCTATCTTGTTTTGGGCGCGCTAGGCGTAAACAGGCATTTGCCTACACAAAGTACCTTCTCAATTACAAAACAAACAAAACGTGTGGTCTTTACTCTTTGGGTAAATCCCAAACACTGACAGGCTCGAAGATGAGCCTTTGCAAAGATTATATTCTTGAGGAGGGGGAGGAAGAGCTGCCCGGAGCGGTGCAGACCTGTCCGACCGTGCCGTGCTGGCTTACAAGTGATTTAACTGCGAGATCTACCTGCGGATAAGGAGCTAGCCCAGCCTCACAAGGGCTGCGGCAGCAAAATTGAAATCCTCAGCTACCTCTGGTAAAAAAAAAAAAAAAAAGCCTTGTCACCCTGGCCGTTCACACCAGAAAAACAACGAATGGAAAAAAACAGCCTGCCCCGCCTAGCAGAAGTTACACAGGGGGGAGCGCAGCAGCAACCCGCCCCGCTCGGCCAGCACCGAGCAACTTTCTGGATTACACAACGCCAACACCGGAGTCAAAACTGGGGCTTCCGCTTCGAAGTTAGAGGCACAGCATCTATAAAAGCGCATTTCTGCCACGGTTCACCCAGCCGAAACTGCCATTGTGCTTAAAAACCCCCCGAAATCCCACTGGCTCATAATAATAAAAGAAAAAAACCCTCAAAGGATTCAGTTCCTGGGCAAAACACCTTCCAAGCCCATCAGCTCGTTTCATTGCGCTTGTCCTCACGCTCTGTGAGGTATCTGTCTTCCCATCGCTCTCCCTCCCCGTATCAAGCCAAGCTGTTCCTCGTGCCAGGGGGGGAAAGCAGCAAACTTTGCCCGAGGCCAAGATTCACCGGCTTGACTGCCACAGCATGGGATTAAGGTATCTCTAACGAGGAGCGAAGGAAGAAGGGGCGCTTAATCTCTGTCCAGAGAGAAGCTCATTTCTCCAGCCTCTTCGAAGGGGCGGAAAAGACGGAGCATTTACTGCGCTCGCTGGTGCAATGTTACCAACGAGATTTCGACATGGCTTTGGTTTAAACAAGGCGAGAGGGACGCAAGGCGAGCCTGAAGTAATCAGATGCTCATTTTCTCAGTCTTTTCAAATGAGAAATAAACATCCCTGGCCTTTTCTAACTCATGGCACCTGGGACACGGGCAGTTCTGCCTCTTAAGAATCAAACCGACCGAGTTCACACCAATCCTGCACTTGCAGCAAGACACGGCAAGATCTGAGCTGCGTCCAAGCCACGCCGAGAAAAAGAGCAGCGTATCAAGGACACAAAGCCATCTTTCAGCTGGACGACAAAGACCACACCGGTCTGTCACAAATAATCACAGTTACATGGAGGCACGGCTCCGGCCACGTACCTACATGCCGACTGCGGGTGAGCAGAGGATGACGGCCATCCCATCGGCACGGGATTGCCCCTGGGAATTAGCAGAGGGCTTGAAACCCTTCTTGCTAGCAAGTCGAGAGGTAGGATGAAGGGAGGCACGCTGCTTGGGATTTCACCAACGAACCGGGCGCTGGCAGAGGAGATAAATATCATTCCCACCTTCTCATTGCACAGCTGCTCCAGCAGCCAAGGACAGGGAAAGCTTCAAGTCCGAGCAACGTCAGGCACCTCCTCGGCAGCCACTTTATCCAGCCGTCCCATCCCTTCCCTCCTGCTCCCCATCTCAACGCCGCCTCGGCTCCCTGACCCCAGTTCTCAACCCCTGGAAAAGCAGCAATTCACCCAAACCCGGCTCCTAAAAAGCCTCTACCACTCACCTGTTCTTTTCCATCTCGTTGTGTGTCGACCTGAAAAAGAAAGAATAAGTTATTAACTCCTCTGTCTGACTAGGTACACCGCAATTAGGCTTAACACGTGGCATTAGTAAATGCTCCCCGGAAAAGCTGCAAACCTCGGGGGCTTTCAGAGCTGCCTGTTACCCTGGGGACGGTGAAAATGGCAGAAGGGACGCAGATGGTCTGGTGCAACAGAGAAATTGCCGGATAAATGGCAATAAAAGGACCAGTAAAACCGTAAGGTGGGATTTTAATGTGGAGAGGGTCAAGTTTTAGAACGAGCACTCGGAAGAAGCAGCTGTATCAGTGCCATGATGCCAGTCAGCGCACGCCATCCAAAAGCGAATGCTCCCCGGGCTCGTGGTGGAGAAGGGGAAGCGGCGGCAGCCCCGAGAGCCACCGCACGCTCAGAGCAGAAGGGCTGATCTCTGAGCAGGGGGAGGAAAGTTGCTCTATCTCAATGCAAACCTGCAACCGAGCCTCTATCGGAAAGAAAGTGGGTTTTCGGACAGCGCAGGTGCCCTGGAGAGCTGCTTTTTAAAGCAGCTTTTTAAAGACTTCTTGCACAAGAAGGGCAGAAAAAGCAAGAGGAGTATCTGCAAGATACTGAAGAGACAGGAGCCGACAGCTCGAGTGCTTGGTGCCACCTTTGGGGAAAGCACGCTGCTTTTCGAAGGCTGCGCAGCATCCGAGCAGTCACGTGTCATGCCACAATCCCCAAACCAGCTCAGGACACGCCGGACATACAAGATGGCAACCGGGAGCCCCCAAAGTCTCAATGACATTCATGCCAGTCTCCGCTGTTCAGCCAGTCGTCTCTCGGCAAAACTGGGGCGAGCTGTCAGGAAGATGACGTGTAAAGAAAAGATTCCCCACATCCAACAAGGGCTTCGCACCTCCGAACGAGAGATGGCAAACGTGATGTTGAACCCCAGGCAGGCGTTGAGTCCATTTACAAATTCCCCTGAAGCTCCTAATTTCGACAAAGCTAAGAAAAGGCCGAAAACACAAGCTACTACTACTTTTCTCTCCGTTGAAACCTGGGACAGCTACACGAGGCTGCACTGCCCATGTCACCAGGACCGACGCTCTGGGGGGAAGAGCCCATACTCTCCTTAAAAGCTCGAGAGGCCAACTACTCTAATTTAGGACAAACATTGTTACTTGCCTGAAAACTTAAAAGACGTGGAAAACCCACAGGCTGTTCAGATAAGGACGCCTACCTGGAAGCCCCCATCGGCTCTGGGAGCACCGGTTTCCCCCAGGCCCTGACGCCAAAGGATAAACAAGGGATGCCACCGACGCACCGGTCGAAGACACTCGCCGGGGTCTTCTTCGCTTCGCCAGCAGCATTTTGCGACAGATCACCATTGCGGCCCTCCTCCCGTCTTTCTGATGAGATTCACCTTAGCCTGGCTCCTTTTGTTTGCTTTGCGGTGGGGCTGGTTGAAGCAATCCATTCCCAAAGGCCAGTGTCCCGCTCGCAGGCGATTGCAGAAGTCCAAAAACGTTTGATTCCAGTGGAGACGTTCCTCACTTAAACAGACAGGCGTTATCACGACATGCAGGGGAATGGCGAGTTCTCCCAAGCAGAGCATCTGCAAACAGCCAGGAAGGACTTGGGTCTTTGGCTCCTGTGGGATCTCTCCATTAAACTTTTTTCTGGATAAAAGTCCCGCATTTTACACCGAGGCCTTCGCTACAGCACTTGCAAACCTCACGCGAGGTGACGAACTGCAGCGAGCCCGAGTTCTACCCTCGATCATAAATAAGCCAAATCCTTTTTGAGCATCAGTACTGGCAGAGATGAAGGCTCCCACCACCACTATGCTTTTATTAATAACAAATTCATCCCCTCGTCCACGCCTTTGTTTCAAAATCCTTCTTAGCATGGATTTTTTTTTTTGGTTGTATCCACAATCGCTAATATTTAGAAAAAGGTTCCTTAGTTGATGGACTTTAATTTTAGATAAAATGAAAGGGGACAGGGAACCAGAGGGAACCGCAGCTTCACCCTGGGGCTGGCAGACTGCTTCGCCGTGTGCCCCCAGACCCCTCTCTCAGCGCCTTCATGCCCAGGGAGCCGCTGATCGCGCCTCCCACTAACTCAAACCTCGCCTGTCAGCCCCAAAACTTCAGCTGATTGCCAGCGTTGCCTTCGAAACCCGGTCTTTTCTTCTACAGACCATAACACAGAAGGAGGTAACGACACGCACTGCAGCTACCCATTCCCTTTTTAATACAACACAGACCTTTGTTCTGCTGTCCTGATTCACCTGAAGTGAAGAACAAGCTCCAAATCTGCCGAAAAGGAAATTCAGAGTGTGTGCAGGAGCAACAAACACCAACAAATTCACTGGGAGCCTGCTTGGGACAGGACCGGGAGACGTCACCTGCCTTCTGCTCCTTCAATGGGAGGAGCCCGATGGCCCTAAAACCCCCATGTGGGAGGGAGACGGAAACACCCCAGCTCGGGGAGACACCAGGATTCAGGGTACGAACAAAAATCTTGGGGCGTTCCGGGCATTATTTGTTGTTACGGCAAGATATCAAAGGTCAGCTGTCACTGCGTCATGCAGATGAGTTTGCTCCCAACCAGGAAAATGTGACATATCTGGTGACATCGCCGCGTTGCTCCTCCCTGGGCAAACAGCCTAAAATAGGCCAGTGAGAAAGGAAGCGATCGGCTGCTGGTGACGTGTCGGGATGAACCTGCTCAGGCTTCGCTCTCTGCCCGACTAAGTTTCCCTCGTAGCCGTTTCGAAGGGCTGGACGTGCACGTCCTGGTGCCGGAGCCAGCCCTCCCGAAAGTCAGCTGATTTCACCTCAATGATGACCCAAGTGATTTTAATGTTATTAAAGCGACTGAACGAACCATGATGGGTGCTGGAAAGAAAGAAGTCAGCACGGCGACTCCGGTTTGCACCGTGACACAAGCGCCAGCTCCAAGGTGGCCGTTTCTGTTGTACAAAACAGAAGAGGGAGCAAATCAAACAAGACACGGGGAGCGTTAAGCAATTAATCCACGGGCCTGGGAGGCATAATTAAGTACTCCCCGAAAAAAATAACAAACCCCGGGCAGGTGGGACTCGCTCCTGCAAAACAACGCAGCTGCTTGGAGCCGACTTCAACTCGGACAAAAGGCGTTTTAGAATTCCCGAGAACGGGCTGTGTATTTAACATCAGTGAGGAGTAACCTGCTTTGAGGCTCTGGATGGATTTCGGGGAGGATAATTAAGGAATTTCCTTTTTTTCAAAGGAAAGCAGGACTAGGTGATTTAATTTAAGCATCAAACAAAACTCTGCCCTCAGCCAAAAGCGTATTAGAAAAATTTTGCTTTCTTTACAGAGAATCCTGATGGACTGAGAGTGGTTTCACTTCCCGAGTTTGGGTGGCGCATGCCTGAAATCAAAAGCTCAACTTCCACATTCCCTTCAGCAAACCCATCCGCCACGTCAAACGATTGCACATTCCGTACCCAAGTTTGCCCAAGACATGAGGTTTCCCCTCACGTCTCGCTGGGATGTTCCGAACAGACACCGGCCCCGGCACGGTTGGCGCTCGTCGATCCGAATTTGGGGGCAGGCGGTGCCGATGGGAATCTCTTGATGGAAGTGTGAAGGGGAAAGGGGTGGCAGGGTGGTGGTGGAGGACCTTGGGGCTGGCGGGTGTGCCGTGACAGCAGGATCGGGGCTGAGCACCCGGTGACAGGAGGGTCCCCCCCAGCCCTGCCACACGCCCCGTGACAGCGGGACCTTACTGGATCCGGGCACCCGGTGACCGGAGGGTCCCGGCCACACGCCCCGTGACAGCGGGACCTTACCGGATCTGGGCACCCCCCATGACAGGAGGGTCCCCGTCCCCCACCCAGCCCGGCCAGACACCTTGCGACAGCAGCACCGTACCATATCCCAAGCACCCGGTGACCGGAGGGTTCCCCCCCCCGCCAGCCCTGCCCCACTCCCCCCGT